GCATTCCATAGCCTTTATAAAAAAGATATAGGCTATAATATAATGTGATTGATAGCCGTACCTAAATATCAGATATAGGCTTACCGTAGACGGAAGGACTGATCGACAAACCGTCCAGTTTCCGTCGCTTGCGCACGCGATTCCACAAAACCACCGATTCACACTTCCGTACGTGCTGGTTATCTACTACAATTTGCTTAATTGTTATTCGAAAGGTGCCGTGAAAAATTGCCCGAGCTTTTTGCGAAACAATGCTCTACTCTAGAATATTCATAAGGTTTTTTGTTAAGTAATTGGACTCAAAAAGATGTGGTCATTGTACGAACGGTTTAAAAGTTGCAAAGGTCAACTCTTCGAATAGGAGCAAAGTTCGTATAATATAGATTTCGAATTGATTGGTTAACATCGCAAAAAGCGAGCTGTTTTTTAAATGTTTATATTGTACAACAAAAAAGCAAATGACTACCTACATGTCATTAAAATTTAAAGATGTTAACAAAGGCCGAAATACAAAATATTTAATCAGAAAAGCACTCAAGCTTTTTAATACGATATAGGTATAGGGTAAACCGACAGTCATTGGACGCTGCCAGTCATTGGACAAAACAACCCTTGAATTTTCTTAAAACGAATATTCCTTCAAATACAATGAATATTCCTTAAAAAAAACGCCCTTTTATCTCCATCAGTCGGAATCTCTCAGTTGTGGATAGAAATGCTATTTTTAATTCAGTAAATAACTGTCCAATAACTTTCTTAAGTGTCCAATGACTGGCAGTTTACCCTAAATACGAGTAGAAAGTACCTATTTTCATGCCAGCCAATCGTTTACATTATTCTCCGCTGAGAAAACTCATGGAAATGTAAGGAAATACGCCTTGAAAAGCAGACTTGTTCAATTCTAAGAATTCACACTTATTGCCTTCTTAGTTGTTTAAGGAGTTAATGAGCAATGAGTGTGATAAAATTTTATTATTTTGGATATTGTCACATTATGTTTTCAACCTAAAACCGAAATCTCTCAAACTTACAGGCACCCGGGAAAACCGGGAAGACAGGAGTTGAGAATTAAGATACGAGTTCTATCCAGGTTATTAGAGAAGTTTAGAGAAATCTGTTTCTTTGTAGATCATGATTTAATCTTCCGTCATAAATCACCGATATTATTATAGGTACCTAGCCTAGGTCAAGTCATTGTCATTAACGCAGAATATGTGAATTATCAGGTCATTTATTATGCAGGGGCGAAATCCTCCATACATGGCTTATGCATAGGCTTACACAAGAAAACTAATTTAACCCCTCACGCACCAATGTACGAGTATGATAGAGAAAATAACGATACTTAACGGAAAGTTTACGACATTACGACAGTTCCTTATTCACACGCATAATCTAAATATCTCCGATCTGTTTCCGATCCGATGGAGAAAAGCAACAATCGCTCTCGTAGAGTTTTCCGTTAGATTGTATAATGATATCGATTCACAACAGTTTAAGCAGTTTAAGTTGTCGTTTCGGGAATCTGAAAAATGGAAATTCCCGGGATAAAAAATAGGGAAAAATTAATGGAATACTGTATTTATTTCAGTCTTAAGTACCTAGTCATTAGCGTGGACGTCTAATGACAGAAATGATGATGATGGTGATGACTGTATTAATGTATAACTAGTTTGGATACTTTGGAAGTAACATTTTTGGAAATCTGTTTGCAACTATTTCACTCCTAAACTGCGGAAATAGACAATCAAGTAGCAGCTGTAAAAAAAAAACGACTTTTTGCCAAAAAATTTACGTGACATACAAAAAACTTTAAAAATCGTAACCCAGCAATTATGAACAAATGTTCTTATACGCTAACATTGGCTACAAACCATAAATCAATGACGTCAAAGGTCATAATGTAACATTTCTATGGCAGCTTTCTAATGGACAACAAACAATTTCACTGATGTATTCGGGTCTTTAGAAGAAAATGATACTTGACCTTTTTCCGCTCTATGATTCTCTACAATATCTCACGACGTAAATCATTGGTAATAGTATGTAATTCACAAAACGTGGTCATTAAAGTATCTAAATCATTTGAAGAAATGCTTTATGGGTTCCAATCCACGATCCGCAAAGCTTATGTTATGAGTAGGTAATACTAATTGCAAGTCAAGAAGGGAATTATTATTTACCAATTTATCTGACACAATAGCGACTGAGTTTCTTTCGCTTCGTCTTCTCAGCACTGGCCCATTTATTTTATTGACCCGAAGCAGCGGTAGGGTTAAAGTAATACAGGGACATATAAAAGCGCTTTTTAAAAGCTTAATTGAAAAAAAAACAAATGAGTTTTTTATGAGTTCAATTCCCAACCAAACTTAAAAACCCTAGTGAAACGTAGGTTTAGGCTCTTAATAGAAAATATTGTGTCCAACTACCAATATCAATAAAAATTATAGGAACAATGAATGTACCTATAATTTTTATTGATATCTGGATTAAGTGGATTGACACACACCTCGTTCTGGTGACGCGACCATAGGCCTACATTGCAAAGCGGCAATTATAGAAAATGGTCTACAATTAAGCAATTACAGAAAACCCAAAGTGGAACGGCATACATTTAGTAACCTTTATTCTGTCACATTTCAACCAATTGTCCAAAATAAAATAATATAATAATAATAATGTTTAAAGATAACTACTTAATTAACCTAAACTAAACCTAATTTAAAAAATGAAAAATAAAATAAAATACATGGCGATACAAATTGTTAAATTCTGGTACTTATTGGAATGTATCTGGTAGAAAATTGAGACGAGGGAAATTTCCATTTTAGTGCAACTTCCCAGTAATAATCAGTAATTTCATATGAAAACTACGGGACGGGTTTTGATAAAACTTTGAATTTTCGTAGCTTTTATACATCAGAATAACACATCTTAATCTAAGACTGAAGCTGGTAATAAACATTATTCATTGCCTTTTTAAGATGAATGCTTTTCGCAATTAGTTCTAGTCTTTCGTTATTAAAAAATAATGACTAATGGGCTCATAAATAATACACAAAAAAGATGAATAAATTGTCAATAGGCACCTCCTTTACATTAACAACAATCCACACGAAAAATAAGAAAATAAAAATTGCTGCTACGTTTTTTAGAATTGATAAATATTGTAGGATTGTAGCCTAATAAATCTTTTTTTCATGTTTAAGTTTTATATGTAAGTATTTTAATAAATCTTTTAATTATTCCGAGTCGTGAGAATTATTAATATTCAAACCGCTAAATGTAACAGCTAAATCCGATAATATCATTATCATCGTGTCATTTAATCTCCATTACAAACCTCTCTCTAATTTCCCTACACTCTCCTCGCTCTGGCCAGACAATCCGAAGGAAGTAACTTTTTAACTTATATCACATATAAAAACTAAATACTAGTACTTTTAGTCAACCCGTTCAATTCCCGATGGATCACAAGGAAAAGAAAAAGTATTTAAATCCCCTTGAATCATAAAAAAAATATAATTTATGGTATGACGTATTTGAACAATATTTTATTAATTGTGTGATCTGTATTACGTGCAGTATGCAATAAAAATATTTCATTTGATCCTCCTAATTTAATTTTTCACTGCCAGAAACGAGAATAGGCTAGCATTAATCCATCAACACTTTTTTTATAATGGCTAGCGCGGCTTAACACTCAGTTTAACTACACGTTATAGTTGAGTAGGTAATGTAATAACGCCGTTAAATATACTGTAATTCCGGAAGAAAAGTAATAAACACACTTACATATTCCATTATTTCCTACACTGGTCATTTGCTTGAACATTCACATGCATATTTTATAGCATGTTTTAAAAAACGAAGTTGGTGTGAGTAAAATGATTTAAAAAAACTTGATAAAACATTTACTATCGAAGACTTCCTTAATACTTAATGTTTGTGTTAATAATGCACTTTAATTTTTTTTTTCATGAAATAAAAATTGGTAAAGTACTGAAGTTATTGTCCTGAAGCAGTGGAAGGGTTAATGGAAAAATATATTGGTACTTGAAGGAAGAAAGAAAAGAAGCCTAACTGCTTTGAAATCACGATTGTGGAAAATTGGAAACGATTATGAATTACTTATGATACATTCCTATTTATATTAGGTAGGGTAAACTGCCAGTCATAGGACACTTAAGAAAGTTATTGGACAGTTATTTACTGAATTAAAAATAGCATTTCTATTTAAACAAGTGAGAGATTCCGACTGATGGAAAAAAAAGGTTTTTTTAAGGAATATTCATTGTATTTGAAGGAATATTCATAGTAAGAAAATTTAAGGGTTGTTTTGTCCAATGACTGGCAGCGTCCAATGACTGTCGGTTTACGCTATTATTTACTATATTTTAATGTCCTTATAATCGTTATCGGGTACAAAAGTGATAAAATTAGTATAAGTACTACCCTCTTCAAAATTATCAATGACTTATTTATGTATGTGCATTATTTATGATTCCTTCCTATGATAGCATTTTTCACTGATAAAGATTGTTTATACTTGGTATTTCTACAGTACAGTTTCGAAAGTAAAAATTAGAACTCGCACCATTTCGTTTGGTCCAAATATTTAAATTGTAGTTCAAGCAGTTAATACAATTTGCAACGATAAGTGCAATACTTATTCAAGTAGGTAAATATCGCTTGAAAACATGTTGCACTTGACCAATATTAAGTTCGATAAAGTAACACCATCATTAATCTGTAAAATCAATCAAATATATTTCCACACATAAATGAAAACAATCTGATTTACGCGTTACCATTCCCTTAATTTTGGTAATTACCAATTGATTAGTTTTGCATCAAATAAAGGTGTACATTTCGTAATTTATTTACAGCTTGACAGCATAAACTGGCGAAACGAGTAATTTGAAGTACAGAGGTCACAGACCGAGATGAGCGACCCAATTCGAGATGCGAAAGGGCTGCGCTTGCGCATCCAATCTCACCTGTAGTGCCGACCGCTTCACTTATACCGTTAACACTTCACTCACTCACAGCACTAGAACAAATGACGGTACGACCGCCAACGACCGCTGGCAAGCAAGAACTGCCAGTGCGCAACGCACCCACCTTAGATAAGTAAGTCTAGATAGTGCAAGGTAAAAGCATAGCAATTTGCTTTAGGCCGGCCACACAATATTGAGGGTACATAAAGATTTGTTGAAATTGTGTATTGCAAACTTTTTCATCACAAACAAGTAAGTTACATTGGGCGATGAACTCTTTTCATAAAAGTAAAATTGCCAATATTGCATGTGCATACTACTAATTAATTTGATAAAGGAACTCATTACAATTAATCAGAGCTGAAATAAAATTACAAACATCAATATTTATTTCAAACTTAGAATATTGAATTAATATTTATCTAGACTGCTGTGCCTAATTGGGATTGTATTAATATTACTTTCAATTTTGTATTCTACTACATAATTATTTGGATTCTTTACATTAGCTGGAGCTCGATTTAAAAATAATAACGAACTAGTTAAATTTACTTCAACTAATTATTATCTCAAAACAATTTAAAGAATTTGTAAGTAAGTAATGCACCAATTTGAAAGTTAATTTAGAATGAATTATCTTTTTACGAATGATATAAAACAAAGAACATGAATATAAACCAATCTGAAAGTGAATAAATATTATAAATTATTTTATTACAAATAAAATAAATATGTTACTAAATAGTTACTGATATAATATTTTCTTTATTGCAATAAACCCGCTTTCACTCTTCGTGCTTTTAACAAATATAAACAAAATTAAATAAATAAATAATAATAAATAAATATTCTTGGACATTTTACACTGCGCTTATAGTCCCAAACTAAGCAAAGCTTGTACTATGGGTACTAGACAACGGATATAAACATACTTAAATACTTTTTTTTTTTGTAAATACATACTTATTGTACATAGAAAACACCCAGTCCAATACAAACAAATATGTTCATGCACACAAATGTATGTACTGTGCGGGAATCGAACCCGCTACCTCCGGAATAGTTGTCCGTTTCGAACCACTACACCAAACGGCCGACAATTAAACAAATAACGTCTTGTTTGTTTTGATTTGTAGTTTTCCTGTTGTTTTTATTTCTATTTCCTTGTTTTTAATTTGAATTTTATTATAACATGCTCTAGGGTAGTTTTTGCATAATTTCCGACGTTTTTGCAATTTTTCGCAGTCACGGAATCCGAGATTGCTTCTTCGATGCGCGCGCGTCGGTCGATGACTCGATCGCCGTGGAAATTGTTAACCCGATGTTCGAAGGTGAAATTGTTCTTGAGCACAATAGTGATAAAGCGGTGGTTTTATTATTGTAATGGTAACCTATATTTAGCTATGAAATAGTAAGTGGAATGTAAGTTGGTACGTGGTAACTTTGAGCGGTTAGGATATTTGATTGTTCTAATGTAAATTAGTTTCATTTTTTTGGCCGTCAACATGTTAAATTGTTTTTTGTATTTTTGAGAAGTGTCTTGGGATTTTCATCATATCTTTTGTAACTAATAACCCTTCCACTGCTTAGGGATTACCTAAAATTAACACAAGTAATGACAAAAAGTAGCGCAACAAACTCTTTTATAATTTTACAACCTCTATTTTAAGAATTTTTATTATATGGTTTTATTAATCCATAACTTCTTTTGCTATTCAAAGACGATCAAATTAACACACGTCGCGTTCTAAAAATCTGTGTTTTTACATTATGTCTCCTGCACATGGTCTCCTATTGATGTGTAGGAAGGTAAACGATATTAAAATTTATGCCTCATCAAGGTCAGGGAAAATGCAAAGATGAACCATCTGCAAAATGCGTCAGTCCAGGACACTGTGCAAGTAAATGGAGGCAGAACTTCAGCAATTGTCAAGCTTTAACAATACCCGGCATGTGCAAAGAAATTTGTAATTTTATCATTTGAAAAACTATAAGGGTTCCTTATCAGAACTACTGAACCCTAAAAACCATAACCATCCCGCGCCAAAGACATGCTAGGGCGCAGCCTTAGATTTCTTATTAATATTTTGTAGGTTTTTTCTGTGTTGGAAAACTTGAAATAGGTACATATTTTTTTACTAATCTATGAACTGTGTACGAGTAAATGTAACCCCACAGAAAATGCTGTAGTTCGACTTCTAGGTTTGATGCTTCAAGAATTCGGAAACCTCAACTCGTGACGCAGGGTCATGTACAATATTTACTTGATGTAAGTACTGACACGTAATTTAAAGTAGTTACGTAGGTACTAACTAGAAAATGACTGTCATTGCGTCAGAAATTTGCGGTCAGAAGACGCACTTTGACAGATTTACCTAGGGTAGACCGGGTACAATAGTACCACGGGTCAATAGTACCATCGGCGATATTTCTTCATACAAGCGACGTTAGGTTGTGTGCATAGCGTCAGAATATGCGCTTTTTGTGTTTCCATCCGCTCACCAGGCGGCGGCGCCTGCGCTGAGAAACGAAGGTGTACAGGAAGGATTTTTGTTTTTTGCCCAGCCGCGGTAAGTTTTTACGTCAAATATATGAGCCCATAAGTTGCCTAATATGCTATTAGTTACCAAGGTATTGTTGTCAATAGTTTATTCAGGCTTTAAACTTTGTATCGACAGCGAATTATTGGCATTCACTGTGAAAATGACTGAATTTTATGTGAAGTTCTCTTGACTACCTACTTGGAACAATTGTACCAGTCTCCATGGGGTCAATTGTAGCGGTACAATCAACCCCGTGGTACAATTAACCCTCGGAACCTTATTTTATACTTACTACATAATATTTTAAATTGGTTTTAAAGTACCTATACTTATAATAAAATAAGTTATTATAAAACATTCACGTGGTTATTATTTTTACTATTATAGGCATACCTACCTACCTACTGAAATAATAGTCTAGGCTCATTCATAGTTGCATACATTACGCATTAATTAGATACATACTTAATGTGTTTTATTAAATAAGTAGGTAGATGTCGATAAAAAGGTTATATAAGTACCTAAATGCCTACTTAAAATATTTTAATATAGGTTTCTAAAACCCTTCTGAATATGTACATTTTAGCTTAATTCAGTAAGTAACTAAGTATTTGAACGTTTTGTTTTAGATGCCTCGGTTTAGAATCAAAAGTACGGATCGCGGATTAACGGATCTATTCCTTTATGAACAGGCTTATGAAAAAATCTTAAAAGGTCGAAGCAGTAGTAGGTAAAAATAATCAGGGTCAATTGTACCAGGGGTCAATTGTACCCTCATACAAAAATAAATTTTTCAGTTTTGATATTTATATCATTGTTATTATGCTTATTGTTGTTTCAGAAGCAATATCCGAGCTAAATAGATGGCATATTATGTAGAAACAGTTAATTTTTTCGTTTTTATGGAAGAAAAGTTATTGTATTGTTTTTAAACTTAAGTGTTGATTTTTCATCCTTGTTCCTAAATATTTTCGATCTCAATTGATGAAGACTGATGATTGTAGGAGATTAAGAGTACTGAATACCAATAAAGGTGATGATTAGATAAACATAACTACTTTTATTGCCTCATATATTATTGGTACAATTGACCCCTACAACGGGTCATGAGACATCGTACAGTTCAAATTCGTTTTTCATTAAGTATTCGAAAGAATAGTTCAACTTTGCATGCTTAAATTTGTAGCTTAAGAGTGTAGCTTTTACAGCATCCTAACAGAATTAGTTATATTTCATTAGATTTCTCAATATTGAACAATTTCCAAAAAATGGTACTATTGTCCCCGGTCTACCCTACTACGAGTACATAGGTATACTTACTTGATTTCCTAAGTAATTAGTGCAATAATTATTAAGAATATTTTTAAGTTAAGCCACTTATACGTAAGTAAGTAAAATGTAGGACTACTTAACTAAAAATTGTGCCTGCCGATATCGGAGGATAGAGCAAGATTTTTTTTTCTGGCTCTTGGTGTTTTTTTGTCCGAGTTTTTGCTTGGAAACTATTGGCACTAGAGAGCAGTAATTTTGTGGAGGTTATGTATATTAATCACGCCGACAAATCGGTAAAAAAAATGAAAAACATTTTTTTAGGGTAGCTCCCCTACATGTAAAGTGGGGATGAATTTATTTTTAATCTTCTACCCCTTCGTTGGATAGCTCTTTTAAAATGGCTTTGGGTGTTAAGACTATTTTTCGATTTAGGGATCCGCCAATTTTTGTTCGAGTAGGGCGTGGTATCCTTCCGTTTGGCCAAATTACTTTTCGCCAAATTTCACTTCGCAAACAACTTATCGCCAAAGTTTCATTTCCCAAATGAACTTTTAGCAACTGTACTTTTCGCAACTAATTCATTTGGCTAAATTATCATTTGGCCAAATTTTACTTGGCAAATGTTTATATAGCAAATGTTTTATTTTGCCAAATATTATATCCCAAATAATTTGTTTGGTCAAATTGACACTTCACATACTTACCCACCGTTACCCACAAATCAAACCATAAGGCAGATGATCATGGTTTTCACAAGAATTTTATGTAAAACAAAGAGATTGCAGAAAATAGTATGGTTGCAGAAAGTAGGTATTGCATAAAATAGTAGGTTAGGTTAGGTTAGAACAGTGACCCTTAACGCGCGAAGGCGAGCGAAGCGTGCCGCGGCAGCGGCCGCCGAGCGCTAGAATCACTTCTATTGTTAATGAATCATTTGGAAATTTCGATAAAAACAATGAAATATGAAAATTAATTTAGAACAAATTTTATATTAACTACCCACTAAACAAAATAATAACCACAAGTTAATTTGTATTCCATTCTATGCACCAATCAAATTATTTTGTAAATAGTGTATCGTGAAATATTTTTGCCAAATGAAACGTTTGCCAAAACATACTTTGCCAAATAATAATTTGCTAAACAATAATATGCCAAAAACGGCATTTGCGAATTAAAAGTTTGCTATAAGTTGTTTTGCCAAATGAGAATTTGCCAAATGAAAATTTGCGAAACGTTGTTTGCGATGTGATAATTTGGGAAACGTTTTTTGGCCAAACATTAGTAATCCGTAGGGCGTCTTTCATTATTCATGAACTTTCAAGGTAAACTATAACGGTTAAGATAGATCACTTAGTTTACGAGTAATAGTCATTTAACTCATGTATTACCTTAACTAATAAAAAATCCTTAGAAGAAAATATTAAAAGTGACTTTAGATGAAGTAATTGCTTGCTTCTGAAATATATTGTGTTAACGATGGACAACTACGGAACCCTACACTGCGCGTGGCATGACACGCACTTGGCTAATTTTTATTATGTTCTTACAATAACAAGTGCAACGACCCATGGCTATATTTTGAAAACACCACTTTTATCCGACTTATCTGCCGAGGTATCTACAAAAGCCGACGATTGCAAGTAGCGCGGGCCCGTTACGTTTCTTTGTTTCGCAGACACGTATTGTCTGCGCCCAAAGAGACTGTCAATTGTGGTAACCCAATGCATGGGTCTGTGTTTCGCACCCCGAATGGTGAAATGTACGGCAAAGTGTAGCGCCCAAGTGGTATATTGAAGGGAGTCTTCCACAGTTCTTAGTTTGAATCATCCTAACTTTTTGTAATGGCTCGATTCGAACCATGACATATAACAAAACAGTTCCCTTTTGCAAAGGTTGATTCGAAGAGAAAGCACCTACTTAGGGTCCACTGTTATGTGTCAGGAGTTGACAGGACAGGACTCTACACTTTCCTTTATTAAAAAATTTAACCATCTCAATATCCTTGATTTTACTTAACTTTGCATTCTAAATCAGGTTTTAAGGTTTACTGATGTCACAGTAGGTACATTTACTTGCAGTTCGGTTACTAAGTAATTTTGGATTTATTCGTTGCAAAAATTGTTAGTTTCTATTGGCGCGGACTACAGATGCATTCAGCCACCGGAACAGTTTCTTGACTCTTGCAGCAAAAACTAGTGAGTATTTAGCCAGTTTAGACGGTTTTTTACACCTACGGACAACAAAAGCCGTATTTTTTCCCTCAACCATACGAAGTCAATCATCTAGTACTTAGCTAGCCCCAAACTTTTTAGGCTTAGACTTAACCAATACCTATGTCTGTCTGTCTATCGTTCGTTTCAGCCAAATGACGTCCACTGCTGGACAAAGGCCTCCCCCAAGGTTTTCCACAATGAACGGTCCTGCGCTGCCCGCATCCAGGCTCTTCCCGCGACCTTTACCAGATCGTCGGTCCACCTAGTAGGAGGCCTGCCCACGCTACGTTTTCCAGTCCGTGGTCGCCACTCGAGAACTTCTGTCTATCAATAGAAGCTATTTAGAAGAAAATGTAGAGAAAATAATTACCATCTCTTGGCTTTTAGGCAATCTAGAAACGAGAGAACTACTTAGGTAGAGTGTTTTCTATTTGAATTGAACCAAAACACGAGTAAGAATCGCTAAATTTTACTGTCATAAGCAAACGTAACATTACAAGGAGCGACGAGGATTAAACTCATTAAAATCTTAACTCTGCTTTATATGTATGAATGTAAAGAAGAGTTAAGATTACTGGGGAAGGAAATCCCCATCATGGATTAAGTATAGAAAAGGCCAGTCATCCAACGGATAACTAATGAAAATAAACAAAGCTAGAATCTTAGGTGTTTCACCCATTAAAATTTGGCTTCCATCAAATTATTTGCGAAATGTAAGATAGGTAGGTAGGTAAATGGTCCTACTTAATTGATAATTAAAAACTAAAGGACTTCAAAGACAGATTTTTCTGTTCGTTCGTTTCAGCCAAATGACGTCCACTGCTGGACAAAGGCCTCCCCCACAATGAACGGTCCTGCGCTCGCTGCCCGCATCCAGGTTCTTCCCGCGACCTTTCTGTATCGTATTAAGTATTATTCATGGAAAAACTGACTTGAGTATTTGGCCATATTATAATCTCTGTCACCATATGTAGGTATCAGTTTGTAAAAATTGTAGACTGAGTAGGTACTAGACAGATAAAATTCCACCCAAGCCCGTAATGAAGTGACGCCAAACAATAGTTATCTTGTTTACAACTGAATCAGTGCGTATACCTTACAAAGACCTAGTTATTTCCCATGATGACACCATGTCGGCACTTGTATAATTACCGCGATCAAATAAAAATCCGGGTTAGTCGAGTCATTAAGGTTGATTAGCGGCTACTAAACACAAAAAACTGCTATGTAATTAAAATATAAGTAAGTTATTTTCGGTAGCTTCCAACTAATGATTTTATATTTGCATGTTGGTGTGAATTGAGGGCATGGTCCATACCTAAATATTTTTTTCTTCTTTTGGATCTTAGTCGTCTAGTAAAAAACTCAAACTCATTTATTTTTGCAAATAGGCTTTTAAAAAGCACATTTACACGTTCCAGTATTAATCCTACCACTGCTTCGGGACAATACTAAATGGGCCAGTGCTGAGAAGAAGCAGCGCAAGAAACTCGATTCATTATTGTCAGCCTCCTTTTCAAGGGTTTACAGTCCATATCTGTGGTTTACAGTATTTAAAGTCTTTATGAAACAAAAATACGCCGGTGCAAACTGCTGAAACTGAGCTGAACTCGAGGCTAAAGTAGCGTTATCCTTAAATCCTTTTCCATCTCACGGAAAAATTAAAAATAATCGTAAGACGCTCGATCTATCTCGGTAAGTAATTTGTCTGTATGCGCTTCTTACAAGTTGAAGGACAGATTTTCAGAAAGCGATGAAACTGAAATTGTTTCCTCGCTAATTAGGCTATCACAGCAATTCCGTGCTAAAATTACATTTCCTCAAAATCTAGCACAACCTCAATCTAAACTCAACGCCGTAAAAACCGTCGAAGATTTATTACAGTGACGTCTGTGTTGCTGATAAGAGCAGCCTTATAGGCTCTTGTTATCAGGGAGAGTAAACAGTTCATCTCGTGATTGGCCGGTAAACAGTGCTATCAAATTCTACTTTACCTAAGACAGTGTTCCAATTAAGAACTTTATTCTTCAATGGTTGAAATGAGTCTTTTTACTTGCAGACAACCAATGAAAGAATGCCAGTAGAAATTATTGGGACGTCGATCAGGAAATAAAATAAGTTGGGACTAAGAAAAAGATCTTGTTTACGAGCACTATCTAATGATAACATTATATCATAAGGACAAATAGACAAACTTATCACAGGAAATTAACAATGCACACGTGTTGTATCTCAGACGATATTATCTTTGTTTTCCAAGCTGCATTTACTTTCCTATGTGTACATTTTATGAGGAAAGTTTACAGTCACAAATATGAGGGGATGTTGTTGTTCTAGGAACCATGGGGGTTTACCGAAACCATTTCCTCTATTCGTCTTTTTCACTCATTCCAAGGTGACAGTTTGAGCACAGAATAATAATAGAAAGAGGGAGCGATAAATCAAGATGAATTATTATTAAACGATCATGCACGAGACAAATCCAAATTGAATAGCCTAAGTTTTTGACAAAATTAAGAATAATGTAAAAATAAATAAATTAGAGAAAGATCATTTGTATGATGTAGGTAGGTATTCGTAAAATATAACACTAAATTATAGGACATTCTTTTAAAACCAGTCAGACAGTTTATTTTGCCACAATGTTTGACACCACTGGCGTCACCAAAGATAGCGTTTATCAAAGTAATCGCTCCAATAAAAATAATAAATAAAAAACATGTTTGAATTAACATTTAACATTTATTTTATCTAATTTATACAGTCTTAATTCTTACTTCAATGTGCCCTAAGCCCCCCCAGAGACCGAAGTCAGGACCGACCTTTCTCCTTATAGAAAAATCAGCGGAGTTCCCGTCAAAATACGTCCATGGTCCTCCAACAATCCACGCGACTAGCCCACAGGGGTCTTCCTCAGGGGTTCCGTCGCGGCACGGTCCACACAATGACCGCTAACGACCATGGAACGGCACTCAGGCCCTTATGGAACCCTCATTGCCAATCTGAACCGAGAAACTCGCTACCCAATGGATACATAGCCGTGCACCCGACAACTAGTCTCTAACACCCTTTGCGAGAAAAATATTTACAAAATCCAGTGTATAATCCAAATTGCTCATTCTTCTTACTTTTATATGTACATTTTTTTTCTTTTCATTTGGTTGTATTCTTTTTAGAGCATTTTCTTTTTTTTTTTTAAGTATATTGTAAACTAAATAAATCTTCTCAATAAACAGAAAACTTAGACTACAATCAAAATATGCTATTCGAGTAGCATTCAAAATTATCCTATTTCCTTAAATGGCTCACATTATTTCGACAAAGATTTTATTACATTCAAAATCCCTAACACTAACAAATTGATAATATGCATCTTTTTCGTTTAGAAATATCTATGTACAAAATATTCGAAGTAAATAACTTAAAGTGCGTATTATTGAGTTTCAGAGTACGCTATGACATCGTAAAATTAACAATCAAGTTACACAGCTAATCATGACTACAAAGTGGTTGAATAAATTCTACAAAGTGGTTGAATATATTCTACAAAGTGGTTGAATATATTCTACAAAGTGGTTGAATATATTCTACAAAGTGGTTGAATATATTAATTCTGTAAATATTGAATAAGTTATCTTGAATGCAAAAATTATAAGTACCAATAAGGTTCACATTCTGAAACGTCGTTCAAATATGAATCTATTCACTATTATGCCTATGATTGATCAAAATATTGAAACCAATCATAGATTTGAATCTTTGTTTGAGCTTTAACCAACGTCAGAATATGAACCTTAGAAATTACAGAAATGCGTATTAGTTGAAACCTTACAATTTAAATATTAGTCGTATGTTATTTATAAACAAACATCTGCAGATACTTCTTAACGAATTATTTTATACAGAATTTTAACATTGTATATGAAAATCAAAAATTCTTTACATAATATTATGTAATCTTGGAAATAAACTTTACTATGCCAAAATAAATAAGTTAAGTGACTTTTTCCTGCGATGCAGATTTTACGTTTTATTATTTCATACATGTTTTTCCTCTTACGCGCGCTACAAAAACGTAACTAGCAGCGTGATACGCACACCACAGATTAGAGAGACAGTGCCGAAATCGGCATCATAGGAAAAAGGCCCTTACAATCATTTTATTAGGAACAACCAATCAATTACAGAAGCCAATCCCAATGGATTATTTTAAGAAAATTCTCAAGAGGAAATCCTCAAATATTTGATTAGATACAATGGGAACTAGTAACAGTCTCACAATAAGAGATAAAATACAACAACCAACACAAATGTATTCTTAAATCAATGCAAAGTCTGGACACAAACCGCGTTGTCTTCTCACAAGTATATCTTCTTAATTAATATGTACAGAGGCCAGCCCGGATTCTCCGAAAGACATTCACTTCACGAAGGCATCTGGAGGTATTTTGCCTTCTGAGTTCAGTTGGTTGAAGATGAATAGTGCTCTTTGTAGATCCCAACCGGTCTCTTGAAGGCAGCTGAAAGAGATATGAAATGTTATACTCATGTTGGTTTAAGGTTTTGGGCAAGCTTGCCAATCATCATCAAAAGCCTTTTACAGTTTCACTGCTGAACTATAAGCCTCCTACACTCCAGTGAAGGGTTTTGCCATAATCTCCACGCTTCATGTAGGATAATATCTAGGAAACACCATTAAAATATGTTTCGAAGTTCAAAAGACGCTTGAATATCTATAAGATTAACTGACTGGGATTATGACCCTTATATTGGAAAAGAAAGGAAAAAAATATGGAAAGAACTTAACCAGTGTAGTAAAAAATATACGGTGCATAGCTAGATAGAACCTTTAAGTTTTATCTTGTCTTGTCCAATATCCTTATATGAAACCCGGTATAGATCATTTCATCTACGAAGACGCGCCCCACCATTCTTCCGCTAATGTTTGAGTGTTATCGGTATTATCATAATAATAATGACGTTTGGATTGCTCGGATCAAACTCCCTGCACCCCGCGCTTTTGTCGACCAAAAACTGGTGGGGCGCGTCGTAGTCGATAACACGATCTATAGGATGGCTTTCTCCCGATAAAAAAATCAATCAAAAATATTTTATTTAATTATGAAACTAGTGGCACTTATGAAAGTCAAAATACAGTAAATAAAAATAAAAGTCCTTGCCTAAGCCCTTATGGGGCACTTTACATGTCTCCTTATCTTTTGGGCCCTACCAGCGCTTCGTGACAACATATGGCAAGTGAGAAGAAACGCCGGAACAAACTCAGAAACGACTAGTTGGTAAAAAACCGGTATGGAAAAAATCTGCCACAGCTGAGAGGTACAAGTATAAACACTTACTTGACGCTCAAATGCTCGTTCATTCCTGTCTGCTGGCTCAGCATGGCGAGCATGGCTTTCTGGGCGTGCAGCACCTTTTGGCATGACCATCGCCGCCAGAATCCAAGTTCTCAACCAAGATACAAGTATATAGACAAAGTATAAACACTCACTTGACGCTCCAATGCTCCAATCCAGTCTGCTGGCTGAGCATTGATTAGCGAGCATGGCTTTCTGGGCGTTGACCACTCCTGTAGCACCTATAGGCGTGGCCATTGCAGCCACCGGCGCCGGCGCAGACTATAGTCCATTCTTAACCAATATAGTACAACGGAACTATTCCCACCTCTCGTTCCCACCACTGCAACTCCTGTGTAGCCAGGATCTACAGCTTGACCGCCATAAAAACCCAACCAATGAAGGTCATGTTTGTCCCGGGGGAAAGTTAAACTGTCATTGGACCCGCAACGAAATTAATCAGAAGAACATAGCAGGAGTTCGAAATTAAGGTTCGACTTGCAACCTTCCTAACCAATATACACTCGGCATCAAATAAACCGCACCTCCCGCGACAAGCACTTTCAAACATATGCATCCCCACATCCCACCAATATTGGCACCATTTAAATGCCTAGTTCTAAACTTAATTTCATTAAAGGAAAGGCTTTCACCCCAAAAATGTGTCCTTAGAAGGATCCAGAGTCACTTAATCAAAAAATAGGTAGTTACGCTTGAGCCAACTTTTATGGTTATAAAACTGTTAAGTTGCAATTAATCGCTATCCATCTGTTAAAGAGGACACGTGAGATCATTATTTGGTTTTATAACCATAAAAATTGGTCTAATTGATCCCAGAAGTGAGGTCTTTTTTCAAGTCACATTTATGGTATATGTTAATCATTTATTAAGAAATTAAAGGTGTTTTTCTTTAAGGATATTTCTGGGCTTTCAAATAACACCAATATGGTTGGGGCACCATGATTGTGTCAGAAGAAAATCTTTAAAGTTCGCGTCGCGGAAGGTGCGGTTTATTTGATGTTGAGTGTAGTACTGAAACAATGTAGACACTTACTTGACGCTCCAATGATCGTTCATTCCAGTCTGCTGGCTGAGCATGGCGAGCATGGCTTTCTGGGCGTCCGGCGCACTTGACGCCGCCATGGGAACAGCCATCGCCGCCGGCGCCGGTGCGGGCGTCTCGGGAGCACCCGTTGCGAAGGCTTTCTCCTCCTGTGAAGAAAGGTCAGTTAGCGATTTGCCCACATTCGTTCGTTCGTTCGTTTCAGCCGAAAGACGTCCACTGCTGGACAAAGGCCTCCCCCAAGGATTTCCACAAAGACCGGTCCTGCGCCGCTTGCATCCAGGTACCTCCCGCGACCTTCACCAAATCGTCGGTCCACCTAGTGGGAGGCTTGCCCACATTACATCATAAAAAAATCTCATAAAACTCATTTATTTTTGCAAACAGGCTTTTAAAAAGCACTTTTACACGTCCCGGTATTAACTCTACCACTGCTTCGAGACAATAAATAATAATAATAATAAATATCTTTAGACATTTTACACTGCGCTTCTAGTCCCAAACTAAGCAAAGCTTGTACTATGGGTACTAGACAACGGATATAAACATACTTAAATACTTTTTTTTTGTAAATACATACTTATTTTATTATACCTAGAAAATGGGCCAGTGCTGAGAATTAGCAGCGCAAGAAACTTAGTCACTATTATCAGCCTCATCATCTCATCATCATCATTTCAGCCACAGGACGTCCACTGCTGAACATAGGCGTCCCCTAATGTTTTCCATGTTGAACTATTGGTAACGGCCTGCGTCCAGCGCTTCCCTGCTACCTTAAGGTTGAATAGTTAATACCTGAATGATATGATGCTGAAGAAGATAGTTGATATAATACCACTAGTCAAATGACAGACACACGTATTCGCTGGGTGCGAAGTACTAGGTGGGGGTAACATAATCTATCGCAGCGCTCATGGTGGTCAAAAGTAGAAATAATGTAAGCTCTGTCATCAGATGTATCTGTCAATGGCAAAGCGATTCTACATAATACATTATGATATCATTAATTAATCGCATGAAAAGGGTCCTACTGGGAACTTAAATAAAAGAGTGGACTGTATTTCGATAGGGCTGGTTTAATAGCCGTTTACAATTTGGAAATAACTAGACTATACAACGTGGTAGTACAAAAATGAGTCACAGTAGTTGTTGTGCACAGATGTTTGCCTTATGATGAGAGCGTGAATTATTGAACTCTGCCCTTGTTTTGTTCTCAATTCTTCTATATCTCGGACTTGTCCAGCCAATACCAACAACTTTCCTTTAAATACGGTTTGTGGTTGGAATTTGATATTGTAACACTCACAAATCAGGTCTTCAAAACAATACTCATTTCGATCTGAAAACGATATTTAATTTATTACTAGCGATACAGGAACATTTAAATATATTTACTGTTATATAATGAAACCGTTAAAGTAGCTTTTTCTTTTTGTTTTACTGTAAAACTTCAACTATAATTATAGTAAACAAACCCTGACACAATCAAAATTAAACACACTTTTTGGACTTACCTCATTTGATTTGAATGACCAAAATGATTTCAAAACCTTTTTTCCACCCAAATCGTGGTATCACAACAATTTATTAGTCGAAAATATTTGTTATTTTTTCATTTCGATATTTTTTCACAAATATACGACCTAAATGTCAATGTGACAGAGCCCACCAAGTTGTGGACGCTAGTTGGCGCTGTAATCGTGCACAGAGCCAATAAGGAACAGTCAAAACACGACTCTCCCTTAGATTTTGTATTGAAAACCGGATCATGACGTCACTAATTTAAACTTTATTTTGGTCAACATCCTGTAATTGTAAAAACTGCTCACGAGACATGAGCGAAATGGCGATTTCCAAAACCTAAATCATTGCCATTAAAAAAATAATGTCGGTTTGGCGCCACGTATCGCCTCCAGTATTCTTTTTTCCTGTACCTATTCTACATGTATTAGATTATTATATTTTTCCTTATTTGTGTCGTTTTAAATATCTTTTCGTTCGACAGAATTTTGATTAAATAAGCATCTTACCTAAGTCTGTCGCCATAACAACAATGTTAACAGCATTGTTGTGTACCGGCAGTTACGAGGTAAAATAGCCAGTTCCTCTGTGGTTGAGGATTCCAGGTGAAGCTCGCTTCCACCTTCGGGCTGATCATCACTTACTTACCATAAGGTGAGATACAAGAAAAGAGCTTCCTCGTTGTGGATAAAAAAATATATTTTATTTGTGTTGATGATTTCTGTAATCTGTCGCCAGACTATAATCAGATTTGTTGAGCGTCTTTTTATTATTAAAGAGCAGGTGACCTATACCTAAGCAGTCGTCTTAAATTACGTGGTTTCTTTTTAGCCTTTTAACCACGTTGTCATTCTCCAATAATCCATAGGCGAGTGGATTGGGGTGATGAGTAAGACGTTCGATGTGCAGTTTCTTATAGCGCTCTATTTCTGTAACCACGGTTTCTATGTTCAAGTACTCGTGTATTTCATCATTCCTCGTGAACCAAATTACCTGTTCTTTAGTAGTGTTGGTGATGAACAGCATATCATTGATGATGCTGAACCCGCCGGCGGCGTTGGGCACGATGACAAAGGTGCGGTGGAACGAGCGCGTCGGGTTGCCGTTGGTGGTGGTCTCCTTGAACACGCCGTTCATGCTTAGCACGATCATCGCCGGCTGGAAAATTAACATCATGATTAGCATCATCATAATAGTTCGTATATCACTAAATAGTTCGTATGTATGATATGTATCACTATAGGCCTTATACAGAAGCTCAAAGTTGCACAGCGTGCTATGGAGAGGGCTATGCTTGGTGTTTCTTTACGAGATCGAATCAGAAATGAGGAGATCCGTAAACGAACAAAAGTCGCTGACATAGCCCGACGGATTAGCAAGCTGAAGTGGCAATGGCAGGGCACAAAACTCAGAACTGACTGCCGATGGGGCAGTGGACATTTTGGATTGGAGGCCGCGTACCGGAAAACGCAGCGTGGGACGTCCACCCACAAGGTGGACTGACGACATCATAAAGGTAGCAGGAAGGCGCTGGACATAGGCCGCTACCAACCAGGCAACATAGAAAGCATTTTATAAATGTGGGAGGCGCCTATGTGCAGTAGTGGATGTTCTATGGCTGAGATGATGATAATGATTAATTGTTCGTAGGTATTAGTATGAAATTCAACAAGTACTGTACACAATTTCTGACCTTTGCTAATCGGGATCCACACTATGAATTTATACCGTCGCATGGTCTTTTGTTTTAAAAGACTCTTGCCCGTTTTCAACATAAATCCCCAATTATTAAGTGACCCCCTATTGTAACACATAAAAGGAATTTTATTGTCATAGAGGTCACTGAAAAGTTAGGGATTGATGGTGAAAACGAGCATCTTGCTATTAAAAATTAGTTTCCATTTACAGAGCGACCATGGCGCCATCTACGAAATTTACCAGAGGAAAATGGAGGAGGACACAGGACTGATCGTTGTGGAAATCCAACAGTGGACAGCATTGAGTGGCGTACGCTGACCACACCAGGCGAATAAATAATGTGGGAACTCTCGATAACTGTCTACGTGGTCCAGTGGTAAGAGTATAAGGATTTTAATTAACATACCTATGAAATATAGTCTGGTCTGTGAGCACGTAGAAATTTGTCCAATGACCCCAAGCTACCCATCTTTATCGCTCGCGCGTAATTATGTTGCTGTCGCGCTCGCACACTCACTGCGGGCGCCCGTTGTACAGTCGCGACAGCAATATAATTACGCACGAGCGATAAGGATGGGTAGCTTGGGGTCATTGGACAAAATTCTACGTGCTCACAGACCATTCGTATTCTAACAGACCGGGCTTTAGCAGAATACATTCTGAATGCAAAATAAAGTACCTATACAACTAAAAGTTTATCCTTATTAACTCACAGTATAAACCAGCAGATCAACAGCGAATCCCATGAGGTCATGGGTGGTCTTGGGGAACTCCGATAATAATGTAACAACTTGTAGCCGTCCGGTTTTGAGGTAGCGCCGCCGGTACTCGCGCTCCGTCATCCGGATGATGTTGCGACTGTTTGGTAGGTAGGAATTCAGTCTGGAACAAATTATTATGTTAAATTAGAATGAGTATTTCTAATAAAAGAAACCATTTCTCCTAAGGATCTACTTTCTGATTCGATCACGTAGGGAAACTCCGGGCATCATCAGTGACTTTGAGCCTTCTTATGGGTCCCATAGTAATAGAGCATGACAATGTCTCCGTTCTGTACATCATCACTGGCAACACACATAGGTCAAAGACTTTAGGTACTACTGGTAGGGTATAAAGATTATGAGACATGTATAGACTCCTTAAGAGCAAAATATTTGACGATTAGTAAGTACTATTTAAAAATAGTCTAACAAATAAAAAAAAAATACTTTGACTTTAGTCGTGTTAAATGCACTTGCTAAATGTCTTTTCTTCCTATTACGCATAATATGCGTGCCAAAATCCGCAACGGGAAAAAGGCTAAACTTTTACTTTTAAAATCAGTCCAACAATAAAGAAAACTGAACCTACTATACTATAGACAATGTAAATCAAGCCACACTAACCTGGTGATATTAGAGTTCCTGTTATCATTGCTCAAGTAACTACAAGTCAAGGACATTATCGCATGCTCATGGTAAGCTTCCAAAAGCGCTTGCCGCGACTCGGAGTCATATATCGCGTAGTATTGCGTGAGGAACTCTCTGACCAGGTCTTGGCCTGATGGGTTCACTAAGAATGATTGCTGGCGAGGGGGCAGGTTGACGTCATCGGCCACGTCGAATCCAATCGATGGGGGCAGGTCCGCTCCGTCCTGTGGGAAGAATGGGTATTATGTCGTGGTAAAGGCTCAAAAACTGAACTCCGACAAACGTTACTTCGACATTACGTTACTCCGACACTACTGAATATCGACATGACTTTACTTCGACACTACACTACTTAGACAAAGGCGAATATCCTTTGTCGGAGTAGTGTAGTGTCGAAGTAAAGTCATGTCGATATTCAGAAATGTCGGAGTAACGTAATGTCAAAGTAACGTTGTTTGTCGGAGTTTACTTAGGTAGCCCGTAGAAAGGCTCAAAAACTGAACTCCGACAAACGTTACTTCGACATTACGTTACTCCGACACTACTGAATATTGACATGACTTTACTTTGACACTACACTACTTAGACAAAGGCGAATATCCTTTGTCAGAGTAGTGTAGTGTCGAAGTAAAGTCATGTCGATATTCAGAAATGTCGGAGTAACGTAATGTCGGAGTAACGTAATGTCGAAGTAAAGTTTATCGGAGTTTACTTAGGTAGCCCGTAGAAAGGCTCAAAAACTGAACTCCGACAAACGTTACTTCGACATTACGTTACTCCGACACTACTGAATATTGAAATGACTTTACTTCGACACTATACTACTTAGACAAAGGCGAATATCCTTTGTCAGAGTAGTGTAGTGTCGAAGTAAAGTTTGTCGTAGTTTACTTAGGTAGCCCGTGGAAAATTATGAATAGGAGGCACGGGACGGGACATATCTACACCTCTCGTTCCCACCGCTGCAACTCCTGTGTAGCCAGGATTTACAGCTTGACCGCCAAAACCTAACCAATGAAGGCCAAGTTTGTTCTGTACCTACTTATGTGATAATTTTATCGTTTTCAGACCCTAGTGACTAGATTATTAGCTAGTCGCTAGTACCAGAAAATTCGATAAGATAAGCTAAAAGATGTAAATGTAATGCAATTTTAATATAAAAATTTAATAGAACTCTAGATATTATAAAATCCTTTGCAGTAGGTACATAGTTTGATATGAGACAAAGACAGGTGATATGAAGCTACTGTGTCAACTATGTAGTTGTAATTAGTGTCAGTTTTCAATAACAACAAATTATAGTCTGATGAGACATACACATTAATTTATTTTCAACAGGTACTCACCAGTCTGGTCAGCTTGGGGAACTTCTTCCGCACATCGCTGGAGACAACAAACAACATGGCAACAGAATGCAAATGTACCTCTGAAACTCACATGGACACGTTAGTTTCAGCACGAAATATTGACGTTGAAGTACCAAACCCATTTATCTTACACAAAATGTTTCAACAAATCTGTTTTGAGTTATGAGTGCATCGTTCTTTGGATCTTTTACCATGGGCTGTTGCTTTTTTCATAATAATACAAAAAAAAAATAGAAAGTTAAAACATTTTGTGTTACATAGGAGATATTAGTAGGTACTTCAATGTCCATATGAAAGGCACTTGGAAAACTAAATGTGAAAATAATTGTGTAGTTCTAAAAGTAACAAGAAAAAATGTTTCTATTATGTTTTGTCTTTTATAAAATTTAATTCTTTCTAGGCAAGAAATGTAAGACAGCATTCACATTATGACTAGACTAGGCAGATTATCTTGTAAGAAATTAATTAAAAAACATTTAAGTATTGTCACTGAATTTAATTGAATATTGTTGAATATAAACTGAATTAGTCTTTAAATTTATTTATCAATTTAAAAAAAACATGAAAACGTTCATAATGTAAACAATGTTTTACATTTTAATCGATTCTCACTACAGAACCACAGAATATTTTCATTTTAGTTCTTCCAAGTGCAATTAAATTAAATACATTCAATTTTAAAACAAATATGGAAAATATGCTAACACATACACATATTTATACAGAAAATACAAATAAATAATGTGAATAAAACAAAAACATAAAAAACACATCCACACAATTCCAAGTTGAGGATCTTAGGAAGTTATAATATTATTATGACTCATACTAAACATAAAATTATGTAGATGTGTTCATTACTAATTCGACAACACATTTGTACATACTTGTATTTATGTCACAGATTACTAATATTAAATTAAATTATTAGAAAAATCAAGTATAACTACTATGTTGAATTTTACAAAAAAAAATCTTATTAAACAATAATAAACCAACAGGATCCATACTGTCCTTTATCATGTGGAATAGCAATAAATGGAATTTAAACAAAATTAGTTAAGTTCTATTTGACCTATTTCTGACAATGAATTACTCTACGTCAAAAAAAAATATAATTCGTAATCTGTGACAAACAAATGGCACACAGGATACTGAGTCCTGTGATTGTAAATGCAAATGGGATATCGCAGATGTAAAGTTGGCACCCACCCACTCCTAGCCTAGTGGGTAACCCAATAGGTAGAAGATAGTGGTTTCTGAAAATAACAACAATAAACATAGAAAAATAGGAGCAAATATTTTACGTTAAGTTACGGTAAAATTGATAAGACATGAAGTAGATAGGCAGGCTTGCTTCATTGGTGGAATTGTTAGCGAGCCTATCAATACATTAAAAATATTTTTATTATGTTATAAAAAAAGGTTTTAAATAAGTTTAAAAAACATACAAAAACTCATTCCTTTGCTCCAATTTTTCTATGAACATAATAACAATCACATGTGATAACAGGAAATACAGTGCATTCTCAATTTTTAAAATATCGTACATTCATCTTCACACACAAAATTCAATTGAGTTAGGTACATATTACATAATATTGATTACTTTGATAAATATAAAGCCCCAATATATTGTTGTAGTCCCAATATTATTGTTCGATTAAAAATATTGACAATAAAATGCCCAAATATTGTTGTTTGATTAAATATGCCCCCAAATGTGTGCTGACTAATTGTCTGCTTCCCAGCCATACCATGTCATGCAAGGCCTGTCTCACTTTCTCAAACGGAACTGACTTACCATAAAAATAAAGACAAAATAGTTAGTGTAGCACTTGAATTTAGCTTTTCTTTCTTGTTCTTTAGTATCTAGAGTTCCGAGACCAGTAAAACAGGCCATTTTCTTCTCTCATGCCTTTGCTAAAGCGCTTCCATCACGGTTCACAAGATGTTTATTACCTGACATAAATTTCGTGATCATTAAACCTGTTCACCAAGGGATTCCCTTTCAGGTACAGCTCGACCAGAGGCAACGCTTTCAGGGCATCCAGTGACCCCAGAAATGGTATCTAAAATATTAGAAAGGCTCGTGATAGAAAATTAATTCTGTAGTGGTATTTTAATCGTTGAACTATTTATTATACAAAAAACTGTTCACTAATACTTACCCTGTTGTCTCCCATGTATAAAATCTTCAAGCTCTTGAATTTACTTGATAGAATCTTGAGATGTTCAATTCCATGCAGCTTGTTGTCATTCAGATTCAACGCTTCAAGATCGGGAATGTTCTCAGCGATAATGTCTATTGCAGCCAGCATTATCATTGGGCGGGAGAGGGCACAGAATATGTCCGACAAGTCTGCAATAAAAAATTTATTGATTGCAAATTAATAAAGTTGCAGCAACTCCTTCATAAATAGAGAAATTGTGAACTAGAAGAAACCTATGTATCACAGAAAATGCTAATAAGAGAATCATTGAATAAAAAAATAATTCTTACCAGGGTCAGCATGAAATTTCGTTAAGTCCAAGGCCTTTGTAGCAGGATTATATCTCTTGGCCATCGTGAGTTTCATCTTCTCTTTCATGTCATCGTCAATGGACACATTCGGAACTGCATTCCTTACAATTACCACCAGTTTGAACCCATCGGGCATAGTGATCTTTCGGTCTGCGTTGAACAGCTTCTCAGCAATCTTAACATCGTCCACATAAAACACAGCCGCATTTCCGTTGATTTTGTAGTAATGTGGAATAAATATTTCCGGAGAGATGAAACTCAATAAAGTCTTCAGTATGACATCTTTGTCATGCTTGGCTCCATAGGGGATGATGATCTGATACCAAGGTAACAGGCCAACAATAAACCTTTTCTTGGGTACACCGCCTCCTCTTGGTATTGGCGAGTTGGCTCCACGACCTCCCCGACCTCTATAATGACTCTTCCTGTTGTTAGGACCTTGCCCTGAATTTGCTCCCATATCAATGTCATCGTCCAAGAGATTTAGTTTTGCATCATTCCAGTTACGAAACTTCTGCTTTCCTTTGTTCGTACCAGGCTTGAAGCTGACTCTCCTTGTATTGCTTGTTTGTATTCTATCATCATGTTCTGTACATAAAAAGGCTAATTTGAAACATTTACATACTTTCACTCAAATATACTGAACATTTATCAAGACATGAAAATGCTTCACATGTATTTTGAGGAGAAACTAATTATTCATGGACTAGAAAGATTCACAAACCATACCAAGAGCACGAATTACAACATCATATCTCATCTTGCACAATAAAATTAGATAATTATTTTATTGTGTTACAACAAGTGACACGACATACATAACAAAAATACCATGCATGGCATTAATGAAGTAATAAACTCACCAAAGTGTTCATCCTTCCAGTTCCTAGGCCTTCCTCCTCCACGTTTAGGCATATTTCTTCAGGTAAAATGCGATATACTAGAACCAAAGCACCAATAATTCACAATAAGTAATCAAGGTTACAAAGGAGGAAAATGAACATTGCTCGCACTCCACACCACACAGACGTGCGTCACTGGCTTGAAGGGTTATCCGATTTAGCACACATTTAGTTATCAATTACCTCAAAAGTTTTGGTTTTGATGAATATTTGTTATATACGTCTGCACAAGCTCAATTCTTTTGATAAATAACTTGCAGCATTTAACTTTTTTGGTTTTACAAAATTCACACGTAAAACGTCACGAAAAATACCACATTTTGTTTGTTGACCATAGACACAAATATGTTGCCAGATGTAGAAATAATAATCTACTAAAATTAATACCTTTCGTGGATGAAAGAGGGTGCTGCAGTTCTGTAAACTTATTAATTTATTTATTTATTCATAAATATTGTTTAGGAATTTTTATGCTGACCATAGCCTTAAGCAGTAAAATCTTCTGTAGGAACTATTTCTGATTTAATTCATTTTTGTGTTTAATTCTATTAGCCTACAGTGATGTTTCCAAAATATTAATTTGATTGAGATAAATCAAAGTCAAAATCAGTATTTTTTTATTTATATGGAAAATACTAGCTTTCTGCCAGCGGCTTCGCCCGCGTGGAATTTTGTCTGTCACAGAAAAAAATTATCGCGCGAGTCCCTGTTTCAAAAACCGGGATAAAAACTATCCTCAAACTCAAACTATATCTATGCCAAATTTCATCAAAATTGGTTTAGTGGTTCAGGCGTGAAAGCAAGACAGACAAATAAATAAATAAATATTCTTAGACACATTTTTACACTGCGCTTCTAGTCCCAAGCTAAGCAAAGCTTGTACTATGGGTAGGGTCATTCCATGACAAAATGAGGGTGAAAAACTAAATATGTTCTTTTCGCATTAAATCTGATGAATTTTAAAAGTAAACATTCCAAATTATAATGTGCAACAAAAAAAATCTGGAAGAAATAATTAATTTTTAAGTTATAAGTCTTCAAAGTCTATACTTAAGTCAACTGTTTGAATGATCATTTTCTCTCTTATTATTATTATTATTATTTTTTTTTTTTTATACACAACGAGGAAGCTCTTGGCCTGTATCTCACCTGATGGTAAGTGACGATCAGGCCGAAGGTGGAAGCGAGCTTCACCCGGAATCCTCAACCACGGAGGAACTGACTATCTTACCTCTAACTGCCGGAACACAACATTGGTAATACGGCTTAAAAAAAAACTATCAATCTGTGAACCGTTTTGCCACTATTATGATTTGAGGGTATTTATCATAGTATTGTTGGATAGCGTCATAGTCCCAAAAAAATTGATAATCATCAAGTTTTAAGTGTGTTTTCTTGATACTTCGGCGATGTAACACCCGAAACAAAAAAACAGGTATTTGTTTTATTATTGTACCTTACACATGGATTAGGGTAACAAAATTTGGTAAAAGTAAGGTCATGGTAGTAATGATTTCAAATACTAACTAATATCTGAGCATGATACTAATTTAGTATGTTTTTTTCTTGATTAAAAACTGTAACACCCGAAACGTTTCGGGTATTACATTTTTATTTATATGTCGATAATGCGTATATATTGCTTGGAGAAGTCAAAAAGTATTACTGTGAGGCTCCTTCGACCTCCCACTAGCGCTGGCATCGGAAAAGGAGTCATATTTCTCTATTTAAGACTTTTTTGAAATGTCGACTTAACACTAAAATTAAGGTATTGTTAAAAAGCCTCGATGTTCGACATTTCCAATTAATATCGTAATTAGAAATTAAAGTAATGCTATTTCAAGCCAAAAACAATAGAAAAAGCTGTATGCTGAGGAAAAATTAAACTCGAACTTTGTATATTTTTTAAAAAAAGCTGCTTCGTAATTTCAAACCAGAATTCGCTCTATTTGTGTTTATTTGTTGTACTCCTTATTTTGTAGTACCTAGAGACTAATAAAACACCGATTTTATCGATAAAACGCGTTGGATTTTCGTACTCGTAACACCCGAAACAGAACCATTGTAACACCCGAAACAAAGAAAAAATTTATAAAAAAATAGTAAAACGTTTTATGTAACAGTGATTGTATGTTACATGGTTTGTAAATTTCATACTTTATCTAGAAGTCCTGTAAGTTTTAGGTATGATTCCTTAAGAAAATTCGCTAAATTTCGAGTAAATGCAGCAACAGTCAGAACATAGAGGCAAAATCTCGTAACGCCCGAAACGCACACTTTTCGACTCATATTTTCGTTATCCTACATTCTAAGCTGTACAAACTTTATTATTTAGATAAAACAACTAAAAACGGACAGATTAAGGCACTAACATTATCAAAATACTATTTCAAAATACATGAAATTGTTGAATATGTGTGTACGAACGTAACACCCGAAACGATGGAATGACCCGGTACTAGACAACAGATATAAACATACTTAAATACTTTTTTTTTGTAAATACATACTTATTATACATAGAAAACACCCAGTCCAATACAATTATACAAACAAATATGTTCATGCACACAAATGTTTGTACTGTGCGGGAATCGAACCCGCTACCTCCAGAATAGTAGTCCGTTTCGAACCACTACACCAAACGGCCGAAAATTATCGCGCGCGTCCCTGTTTCAAAAACTGGGATAAAAACTATCCTCAAACTCAAACTATCTCTATGCCCATCAAAATCGGTTTAGTGGTTCAGGCGTGAAAGCAAGACAGACAGAGACTTTTGCATTTATAATACCTATTAGTATAGAATAAACGTAACGGGACTATTCTCAGTTCTCACGCACGTCCCACCTCTCATTCACACCACTGCAACTCTTGTGTATTTCCCTTTCCGTGTTTAATTGGCGACGAAAATCAGCACGGCTTTGTATTACTATCCAACTTGCCAAACCAGTGCTTAATTGGCGTCAACTGAACGCGATTTTTGCGATCTAGCAAAGCTAACATAGGTTTTACAAAAGCGTGTGCATTTTAAGATAACACGATTTTAATTCGATTCGATTTAAAACAAACCCGTGCTGATTTCAGACGTTCACGGAAAATAAAGGTCCAACCTACCTCTATTTCAAGACGGAGTCAAAAACAATTACCCAACAATGTTGTGAATGTGACGGCCTGTTAAAAAAAAACGTACACACAATATAGCTATGAACATAGATGAAAACCAGCGTTCTGCAAAATAGTTGTTTCAAAGTAATTTTTCTTTATTATTTTTAACGTGTCTACTATGTCCTTGTTCACATAGACAAAAACAATGGATCTCCATTTGCTAGTCATGTACTAGGTACGCACTTATTTTTGAGCAAATACTTAAATGTCTTTTTTTAAATTGTACCTATTATAATGTTTCACTGAACTTCCATACATAACCAGTTTCATACACCCTTGCTTAGAGGTGGGCGCCACGCCGGCGCGCCGCCGCCGCCGCGAATTTTTTCACGCCGCCGCCGCCGACGACCAGCTGTCGGCGCGCCGATACTGATACTGTACAAACTATTTGCAATTTATTTCTCCCCTATACTGTACTAATTTGTGTTTCAAACGCAGAAGAACTATTTTTTTATTGAGTTGAGCGGCTATTCTAGTTCAATAAAGTCCTAGTATAACTGCGACCGGTACCGATCTATTGTGATCGCCGCTATTTTCCTTACAGTTCGCCTCCGAGTCCTGCATCCATTAGGAATAGCAGTATCTTTTGGGGGGCGATATGTTTTACATCTTGTTGTCTTAGGATGTTTTTGCCCAGGTGTAAGCTCCGCTTGCGCATCAGAGGTCCGCAGTCCGTGAGAATGTGTAGTGGCGTTTCATCTGCCTCTTGGCACATCCTGCACGTTCTTGATTCGGACAGTCCCATAGTGGACAAGTGCTTGTTTAAGCTGCTGTGTCCAGTGAAGGCTCGAACTGAGATGCGCATTTTGATCCTACTCAGTCCTATGATCTGCTTAGAGCATTTTCGGTCATAGGCAAAAGCCTATATAAGAGCTTTGGAATGAGTTAATCCTAGCGTGTCTGACCATGCCTAAAAGGATTTGTTTAATTAGATGTTCTCCAGGGTCATTCGAGCGAGACTTTTGAGAATGCCACAAAAGGGTTCTGGACCATATTGTGTTCCCTCCGCTCCCGCTCTGGCCAGTTCGTCGGCATTTTCATTGTCCACGATTCCCGCGTGACCTGGAACCCATCTCAGCGTTACTCTGTTACGTTTTCCTAGGGTATTCAGTCGACTCATGCAGTTTTCTACCAACTTTGAGGTGATTAAGATGAAATTTAAGGCCATCAGCGCGGCCTGACTGTCTGAGTTAATGTAAATTATGTGGTTGGCATAATTTTTTCGCAGGTTAGCTTCCGCACATTCAATAATGGCGTAGACTTCTGCCTGAAAGATAGAGGCAAATTTACCCAGGCTTTGAGATAACCTAAGCTTCGGCTGCTCTCCATATACGCCAAAGCCTACATTAGGGCCCATTTTTGACCCATCAGTAAACCATATTATAACAGAAGAACTAACTATAATATTTATTCTTTAATACCATATAAATTGGTACACAAGGCGAACTTAATGCCGTTGATATACTAATAAATTGATTGAATAACTTAATACTAACTATATTAACAGTTAATCAAGTACATTATTCAAGTTACTGCTTGGTCTAGTAAATAATATAATTGATCGCGAGAGGCGCCGGTCCCTCTTGCTGTCAAGAAAAAAATACCCGCCTTCGTCTGGCAGATAACCCCACACTATTGGACTATAATTTAAGCGAATCACTCACACAGAGATTGGCAAATATGTCTCGGAATGCAAATGGGAACCACAACCTCTGGAAGGCAACAAAGTACCTCTCTCAAAGTGTTCTCCGCTTATTAGGTCCGGTAATAGTACATGAGTGGCGAGTGCGAACTGACAAGAAAAATCTCAGACTTTTGCTACATGACAAGCCGGTTTATTTAAACCCACTGACACGGATAATCCCTTACTACCCTACACCTTAATAACCTTCCCATTGTGATTTGAGAGGGCTCATTTTGCATCTTTTCTTATGCTAATTCTGGACATTTTTATACTTGACTATCTGAGGAGTTGACCGCCATGTTTCCGCCATGCTCCTTACTCTCCTCAAGTTCAAAGTAGAAGATTGATTCCTACTACGCTAATTGAGGACAAAAGACGCAGGAGGACAAAGTGACTGACATAGCCCACAGAATCGCTAAAATCAAGTGGCAATGGGCGGGGCACATATCTCGTAGAGCTGATGGCCGCTGGGGCAGTAAAGTTTT